ATATATATATATATATATATCAAAAACAAAATTGTAGCTATCTATATGAAAACTTGCACCTGAGATAAATTCCTCACCACGCATTCTTCTATTTCTTTAATTAAAAAAATAAACAGCCATACTATGCCGGGAATGCTTGCGCGCATCCGGTAAATTAATATTTAATTGATATCCATGCGACGGAAATGCAACACGATGTATCGTTCGAGCGTGACGACATTCGCTCGACTTCCCGCTTATGAACGCAAGCGATGACTTCCGGTCGATTGAATTGATCACCAACAATTCTGTCGAATATGTAAATCGTTTTAATTAAATTAAATGCGCGACAGGATTGAGTAAATTAATTCTCTCTTTAATTAATTTCATCCTTTGCCTCATTTTTTTCTTTCCCTTTTTTTTCTTTTTAATATGTATATTTGATTTTTTAAAATGTAAAGAAATTAATTAAGATGGTTAAACAGATCTATATCCAATTAGTCATTTAAAAAATCTTTTTTCTATACACGTGACAACAAAAATGTTATACATGTTGTATTTTGTAGATATCTTATCTAAATAATGATATAATACTCATCCAAATGTTTTATCAACGATAACTTATCGGCTGTTAAAAAAAATCAAGAAAAAAATTCGATAAAAGCGGCAAACATGAAATAATAAAAAGAAATACATCTGAAACGTTGCAGATTACTTACTTAGAACTTACCAATCTCGAATAAACAAACTGTAGAATACCAGCACAGATTGGTAACAAATTCGATCAGAAAAATGTAATAGATTTTAAAATCTATTGAACGTAGATTTGCCCGATTTCTGCTGTCAATCTGCGTCAAACTATGTGCAAACCTGAGTTCTGCAGTTAATCTGCTGTCAAATCATGTAAATAAACTTGAATCTGTCATATTTTTTGTCGCATTCTGTTTCCAGCATCTGATATAACAGATATATTTTGCATCAAATTTCTTTGATCTTTTATTTGACAAAGTTTGTTAGTAAACGCTTTGCAAAATGAATCTGTTTAAGCAAATTTGGCTGACGAGAGATCAAATCGTACGTACTCTATAAAACTTTTAGAATGAATTTCGCTCTAAAGAATAAAATTTTATTCTTAAAAATTGAAAATTGAGCCATTCTTTGGACTAGCTCAATTTTCATTCTTTAAAATGAGATTTTCCTCCAAAAAATTTAGAAAGTAAATAACTATAGTACTCCTCTTCAGCTGCAATCTAAAATTATAAAATTATATATTATATTATAAAATTTTTCATCTATTTATCGAGTGCCTCGTATGGACAATGGGCAACAACTGTAATTTCTTTTTCTCTTTACTCGTCGTTGAAAATTCAAATACGGGCTGCATTGTCGCTCGGTGTAGCATGAGATGCAGGAATCAATAATTATCGTGCCGCGTATCTACGGATCAGCGAATGTGCAGTGGGCCATGTATAGAACTGGAGCAGCCGCGTCTCCATCTCCTTCTCCTCTTCGGTCCAGATGTTTCTCGGAGATGCCGACAGACCGCGCGCATTGGCTTACACCGCGCCTGTACGTATCAGGCCACACCAGGCCACATCGACGTTACCGAGTCAGATTACTCCGACACGGATCCCGCTCTATCCTCTTTTCTCTTTCTTTTTCTTATCCGTAAAGGAGCTCCGAAGACGTTGATGGTAGGAAGCTCCGCCCTGTGTGCCCCACGATTTATTACGATTTGTCTGACGCTCGAGAGATTATCCGTTGAAAAACGTTCGTCTCTTGAGACGGGAATGCATACGGTTCGCGATTTCGTGATTCGATGAGCAACACCGAACGTATCTCCCGCGTTGCTCCACAATAATTTCTCTCTCTCTCTCTCTCTCTCTCTCTCTCTCTCTTTTCTCTCCCTCCCTATCTCTCTGTTGCGGAGATCGCGCGGTTCGTGAACGATGGACGTGACAGCGCGATAGATTTGACGGCGATCCCCGGAGTGCGAACCTTCTCGACATCATGACGCGTCTACGGGGCCGTGCGTCGCTAATGGTCGTCGCGACGATCAGCTTCATCCTGCTGGTTGTCATATACCACATACTGAGTAACGAGATCGACGAGATGTCATCGGGCAAAATCGGCACGCGTCTGAGAGCCGAAGATGTGTATCCACCAGGTGAACTCATGGACAGCCCTCAGGGCGCTGCCAGAAGGCAGCTAATAGATGGACAGATGACGGGTGATTTGAAGAACGGTAGGAACAGACTTAACGAATTAATTCACTATGATAAATCGTTTGCAGACGGCACGCCACTGTTCAAGGGTCATAAGGTCGTCCACCTAGATCTGAAAGGTGCCCCGCCTAAGATGAGCTATTATAACTACCTGTTTCCTCTACTGCGAAAGCTAGGAGCCACTGGCGTGCTTGTGGAGTATGAAGACATGTTTCCCTTTGCTGACAGCATCGAAGACATACACGCCGGCAACTCTTATTCCAAGAAGGACATTGCGCAGCTTCAAAATATAGCCAGGAACAATCAGTTGATCATCATACCATTGATACAGACTTTCGGTCACATGGAGTTTGTTCTTAAATTGGACAAGTATAAAGATTTCAGAGAAGTTCCACGTTATCCGCAAGTCTTATGTCCTACGTATAATAAAACACTATCCTTGATCTATGAAATGATAAACCAAGTCGTATCAGCTCATCCAACGTCAAAATATTTGCACATAGGTGCAGACGAAGTTTATCAGATAGGCGAATGCTCAAGATGTTTAGACGTCATGGCCAAAAGGCAATGGAGCAAACGACAGTTGTTCCTGGATCATGTCTCTGCAGTAGTTAAATACATCAAAGAGAGATACCCAGAACTGACTGTACTTATGTGGGATGATGAATTCCGTGATATATTGCCACAGGAAATCATTGACAGGGGCCTCCACTCGATGATAGAACCAGTTATTTGGAAATACACCACCGATCCTGGTATGACGCTAACGGATCAGCTGTGGGAAAGTTACGCCGCCGTGTGGAAGGAAGTCTGGATTGCGTCAGCATTCAAAGGAGCTACTTCACCTGATAGATATTATACAGACATTTCATATCACATGGAGAATCATCAACGTTGGTTAGAAATCATTCAGAAATACTCAAATCAAATCACATTCAAGGGTGTCATGTTGACTGGATGGCAGAGATACGATCACTTCAGTGTCCTTTGCGAATTACTGCCAGTGGGATTACCATCTCTCGCCATTAATTTAGCTATATTACAAGCCTCAGATGTAAACGTCTTTCCTGTAGAATTACCCGATCGTATATCTGAAGCTTTACAATGCGATGGTATCATCTCGTTAAGTATACCAGAACCACAGTACGGCTGGACCAAATGCAGTTTCCATGGAGTATCGGTATACGCAGCTATTTTACGTCTTTACTCTCTAACACAGGAAATAATGAAAATGGAACAGGATAATACCTATAAGGGATGGTTAAAATCATACAACATTAAATATTCTTTTGCAAGTCCTAGTTACGTCGAACGTGCGGTTACTGATTTGGACAGACATAAAATGGAAATAATATATATCGAAAAAGAGATGCGTACAGCTATGGAAGATATTTATGACGATTATACAATACAAGAGTGGCTTGAGACATATGTCACACCTGTAAACGAAAAGCTCAATCGGTTATGGGAAATTAAGGAGAAACTTTTAGAGAAAAATACATGGCCAAAGAGACCTCTCACAAAATCTGATTTATAGTATAAAACAGCAGTTTCTTGGAATAAATAAGCGAAAATATTCATGTTCTTTGTGGTATAATATATTAGAGACTGAAATTTTTATTAAAATAATACGAGAAAAAGAACGCGAATTTTTTCGCGAATAATTGCGAAAATTTTTTAGCAATTATTTTTTAAAAACGGCGTGGATAATCAGTGAAATGTAAAAATTTTGAACTCGTAATTTTACATCTTGAGCAATTGCTGTACAGAATATGTGATAATATATAATTTGATAAGGAAGTAATCAAATCAGAATTGCACCGTCCGTATAAATTAGTATATTTCATTTATCTCAATTAAAATAATTACATTATTTATAATAGAAGTAATAATAGATATTTCTTACTTATGTCGCAAATTTAGAAAAATTTTTCATTTATATTGATTATTCTTTTTCTTCCAAAATATATTCCAAAAAGCAAATCTTAAGTACACTATAAATAATATTCTAAATGATTTACAGAGATAGACGGTGTATAAAGATTGAAATCTATTGAGAGATATATACATATATATTATATATATATATATATATATA